GCCTGGAATCATGATCCTGGGCTCCCTCTGCACACCTGTGCATCCCTGCAAAGGTACCCAACAGTCAGCTGGTTCTTGGATGGTTCCAGGGATCCACCAGGCTAGTTTGAGCCCCTGGAGCCAGCTGCTGATCAGTGGTAGCATCAAGGCCACACCAAGGCTGGAGTGGGGCCTGTTCTGGTCCCTAGCAGCTGCTGGCAGCCAGCAGGGACCACACCACATCCCATTTCAGCCCCACTGTGGTCCACCTAGCTGCATGTTCAATTTAAGGTGCAATGGGAACCAGCCACAAAATTATTACACATTTTTAGCATAATAATTTTGTGGCTGGTTCCTTTTTTTCCCTACTATGTGGCTGGGTTATAGTTTAACCATATCTTAAAAGTAATGTCTACTAGGACCCTATGAAACAGACTTCAACCAGATATTAAGCTAAGTTCAACAAATTTATAAGCTTCTGAAAACATGACTTCAAAGATTTTTTAAAACCAGGGTTAAGCAACCTTAACAAGAGATGGTCCTATCAGCTCAGCCTATAATAGTTTACAGACAACCATGAACTTAAGCTTTAAAAAGAATGCTGCATGGATTTAAATGCAGCTGAAATGTGTCACCTTGACAGTTAAGACAGTTTACATTTAAATTCTGCCTTGACTTTCTGAACTGAATGCAAGTTTTAAGAATTAACAGATGTCATGTGGGGGTGGCAGAAACCTAGGAGGACTCCTGTTCAAGGTTCTTAATTTGATTTTATAATGTAGTAATGTCTTACTCTGTCATTTCCTTTTTCTAAACAGTGTGAGGCTTATCCTTCTCTCTCACAACCTGCAAGAAATGCAAAACTCTAGAACTCTTGGTTCACAGATGATACCTTTTATTAGACCAATTAAGAAATTGCAAAAAAAAAAATCTCTTTCTTCAAGCTTTTGGGCGCACACGCACTTCCTCAGGCTTAGGGAAAATTCAACACAACCTGAAAGACTTTTGTGCTTAAGTGAAGAAAACTCACACAGGTTCTGGTCCCTATCCAAGCAGCTAAACAAAAAAGATTTGTTAATTGTTAGTTTTTCTTTACAAACTTGAGTCAACCTCATTGGTTTCAGAGTAATGGATTCTCACAGGGCAGGTATAATACAGCAGAAATGGAGTTAGGCGCTGGAAGGAAAAGGTTGGAGGTCCAAAGCAGAAGCAGAGTGTCTCCACCCTAATGCATGCCAAGAGAACTAGAAAAATCAATCTCAACATAGACAGTTTATTCTGAAATTGGCTGAGTGATCCTTGTTTTTTCCTTATTCCTTAGGAATGCCACATATCAGGGACTGCCTTCTCTTTTAGTATGGGACTAAATAACTGAAAGAAGTGTTCCTCAGAATGGACCCTGGGTAGGGATGTAAACAGTTAAGCAATAATTGTATTTATACCACTTACCATTTAGTGACCTTTGACAGAAACAGCCCCGGACCCTTATACTTTCACCATGTTCATGGTACTACGTGGTCCCCAAGTCACTGATGGGGAGCTATGGGTGAGAAATGGCAGACATGGCTGAGCCACTAAGCAGCATTGCACAGCCTCAGCTTCCCCTCACCCACATGGGCAGGGGTTGGGGCTACAGATGAAGCTAGGGCTGCATATTTCTCCTGTGCCCAGATCCCACCACCACAGGGAGGGAGGGAGGAGTTGGTCCCTGACAGGGATCTGGTGGGGTCTTCCCACCATACTAGCAAGACTCCCAGCCATGTTGCATCTGCCCAGCCCCCCCAGCTTCTACATCATATAAAGAGCCTAACTCTCCATAATATTTAAAAGTATGCCCACTGTGTTATTCAGTTCAGGGATAAATGGAAGGTAAATGGGTAAGTACTATCTTGTATTGTGACAGGTATTAAATCTCCTGATCACAAATTTGAAGAAAATCTCCCAGTTGACTAAGTACTACCATTTTCAGATATTGATTTTTTGCTTTCTTTCACATTTCTAAAATTTGTTTTCTGAGATAGACAATCACTTGTGGAAAAACAAAAAAAGATAACCCAAGGAAATAATGCTGACAACATTCACACCGTCAACCATCCATTGTTTCTCCATTGCCAGTTTCTAGACAGATTTAAGAAGTGCCATGATAGGATTGGGGCAGATGCAGTTGGGGTACAGTGGTGCTGTTCCACCCCCTTTGATTCATGGTCCATCCAAAATTTAAAAACAACTACTTGACAGTGACAGCAG